GCTCTCAGGATCGCGCTGTTTCCTGACGCGGGCGTTCGAGACCCGTCGCCATCTTTAATTCCTCAACTTGCATTTTGATGGTCAAGAATAAACTTGTATAGTTTAAGACACTACACTTTATGTCCTTATAACATTGTCATGTTGATTAAAACTTAGGGTCAACCATATATACCCCAAGCACAAAATTCAAACAAACTTATACAACCTCCAATAAACTTTTATTACAAATAATTTCAATAAAGGTAAAACACTCATAGACAACAAATAACTGTTCTTAATAAAAATATTAATAAAGCTTTTTTATTAAATGTCTGAGTAGGTAAATTTTTTCCTAAAGAGTTCATTTGATAGTGGTATTTAGTCTTGACTTACAGGATATCCATGATTAAAAATTAAGTTTAAAATTTCTAGTCTATATTATCTTAGAAAATATAACAGAGATTTTACTCTAGGAATAATCCAATATTGAGTATCATAAAAATGAAAGTTTGTTATAATACATTTAAATTTGGCCATTTATCCTCATCTCTTTTCTCCATAAACGCACAAATTTGCTTACTAGCATTAAATTTTGTCAACGTGACATGCAGAATTGGTAAAAGACCAGAAACTTAAGGGTCTACTGTTTCATTCTATGGTTTAGCACAGAACCCTTCGGTGGCATATCAGGATATGGAGAACTGAAGGAATTACCAGAATATTAAGGTTGAGGACAATTCTGCAACAGATGACTGAGGTGAAAGTTTATGGTGACTAGGTGTACAAAAGGATTGTCAGTAAGAACCTAATTCACTGCATTACTTTCAATTTGCCTATTTTTAAAGTCCTAATTGGAAATTAAGACCCTACACTTATTAATCCAGATAATTTGCTTAGTACCATTTTATTGTAGAAATACATAAAGATTGAGATTACTAAAAATATGAATAAAATTTGACATAATTAAATAGACTAAAAATTTAAGTACATAAAATGGTACAGTCCAAGTTTTTTTTTAAATAGAATATAGAGAAACAGGATGAGCTATGTTTCTTTGAACATACATAGAATTTGAATATTAGAAAAAGCATCAAGAATAGTGACTATGCAAATTAGGTGTCCAGTTAATAATTTCAAACTTAATTGAACAAAGTGTGAATTATAAAAGATTAAGACACTTCTACACTTTGACCTTAGAATAAAATAATTTCACTTTAAGGAGATTAGATTATTTTGGAACACTCAGGGGAGAAAAATTAAGGCCTATTTTCTAATTGTTAAAATTTTCTATTAAAGAAATCATTGTTTTAAATAGAAAAATAAAAATGAACATTTTAAAATACAAAATTCCTAATTCCTAGAGATTCAATCTGTTTTAACAGATATGTTTGTAAAAATATAGGCTTGCATCTAGTTTCAAGAAATATATTAAACTGCCAAAGCAAATTTTGAGAACTGTAGTAATGGATATTACAAGAAGAATTCAACATTAACCCAGCAGAATTTCTTATTCTTACTATTCACCATTAAAATAAATTTTGCCACAATTAACCTTGCATTTGGCCTCTGGATTAGTCTTGTAATTAAGTCAAATATGTAAACATACAAATGCCATCATTTGAGTTTTCCCTTTCCAGAAATATCTCTTATTGAAAATGCATGATGTCACCCTTTTCTCCTATTAAATCTTAATTTTGCATATGAAGTCACTTCATTAGTTTGTGCATAAAGATGAGCACATTAAAACTGTGGAAATTACCTACAAAATCATATATGTAATGATGCAGGCAAAAAATGCTTTAGGACCTCGTCCTATCCTAGTTACATCAGCACATTTGTGTGGATTCTAAAGAGAGCAGCTAGCAGAGTCCTGATGGGGAGGCTTTTGGACAAAAGAGAAGAAAAGAAGAGCAAGGGATTATGGCACATTGCCCAAGGAAAATGGGATGGGGCTGGGTATTTTGAATAAGGATGGAAATTTGCCAAGGAAAAAATGATACTGAAAGGGGCTCAGAAGGGCGTCAAGGGAAAGCCCTATACTTGGCTTTGTACCAATGTTTCCTGCCTTTTTCTCAAGACTGTATCCATACCTGCTTGTTCAGTAAAAATTAATGAACTCATTTGTGCAGCAACTTCGCAATACTATAAAGGTCCTCCTCTCTGAATATTAAAAGGAAATTAGGTTGGCTAAAGTAATAACTCAGGTTCTTATTTTTTTAAAGTCTGAGACAAAACCTAAAATAACTGACAGTATGTGTTTGTTTTGTTTTGTTTTTTACTTACTTTATAAACGGTTCCAAAAGCTCCCGAGCCAAGGACTTTTACCCTCTTGAGCTCAGTTTCTTTCAAAATACGAAGTTGAGCTTGATTAGGTGCAGTGCCGCTGGGGGTTAAGGGTTCTACCAACTGTAACGCAAAAAAGAATAAGTTTATACAACTTTCAATCCAATAACCAGTCCTGTCTCCTGGTTTTTTCTCACACATGCAAAA